TGTGCGAAAGTTTTTGTGGCATATCACGATAAATATCCTTGGTATCCCATGTCGCCCACAGTTCACAAAATCTTAGTACATGGGCACCAAATAATAGATACATGTTTAGTTCCTGTAGGCTGCCTTGGGGAACATGCATCTGAATCAAGAAATAAACTATACAAAAGCGATAGAAGAGGCCACGCAAGAAAATGCAGTCGACTAGACAACATCACTGATGTTTTTAATAGATCAATGGATAGTTCGGATCCATTGCTGTCTAGCACCTTTTTTAAAAAAGGATCGCAGCGAATCAAGTTAAAAGTAATACCAGCAGAAGTGATATCCCTACTACAAGAACCACTTATAGAAATACCTTCGGAAAATAATGAAGTGGATTCGTCAGACGAGGAAGATGAGGGTGAACTTGAGGTCATTGCTTCAGAAGATGAATATTTTGAGCCAGAATAAAGTAAACCTAATTAAAAATTTGTTAAATTGATCTATTCTTTTAAATATATTTACTTAAATTTCATTTCTTTATAATTATTTTTTTCTTTTTTAAAATAAAAAATAAAAAAAAAAGTATTTTATGCAACATTCACCAATATCGGCCAGATCGGTTATATGGCAGCTATATGAAATATTGCTCCAAATCATATAAAACTTGGTAGGTCATCTAAGGAGCGTAAAATATTCATACTATCCAAATTTCAATGTAATAGCTTTAAATTTAGAGTTTATGCCAAAAAAAACTTAAAAAAAACCACAGTGAGTTCGTTAGTTAGCCGGCTGGGGCGGGGCCCCGTTGCCACCCGAATTTTGTGGCTACGACATAAAAACCTCAGGTTTGTGCCCAAGTGCTCGAATTGCAGCCCGGACAGGTTCAAGTCGATGCGGATGACTTTGACGTTGAAGGACGCACTCTATCCGAGGTGTGAGTGAAATCTCCGGCAAAGCTGTATCCTCTCCATCCACTGGCTGACAACTGGGCGGGTGTGAGTGTGTGCGTGACGTGTGTAAACATTTTCATGGCAAATTTGTGAAAACATATGCCAGCATATGTAGCTATGGAAGCGCCTTTGTATCGCCTTTGACGCTAAACACGATTAGACTCGCATTTGCGCAGCTAAAACTCTGCATATTATGACATGCGAGCCTTGTGTAGCGAAACTTTCTGATTGAGTTTGAGCTGATAAGAAGGCGAAAACAATGCACTTATCTGGCAGTAAATTAGGTTAAATTTACGCACAAAGCAAACAAAGTAATGCTGGCAAACCTGAAAATATTGTCGAAAATCTAGTTGAATTTTACAGTTTCAATATGGCTTCAACTACTAATTGGATCTGGTCGAATTGAGGATGCTTTACATATAGATATATATTAAATACATGAGATCTGAAAGTGTACTACCGTAAAGGAATAATGCTCGCCTGCAGAGCTAACTAGTTGGATGAGACTACAGTTATTAAATTTTCAAAAGGAAAACTGCATCACAGTCACATAAATATGAATGTCTGTGCATCAGACTGAAGCTGGGACTCTTCAGAGTAGCGACATCAAATTGAGATCCACAAGTTTCATCATTAAATTCAACTAAAACAGCTAAAACATATTCGTAAACGAGGAGCCAGCAGATATAAACATTTGAGAAGAGCTCATAAAATGTTTGATGGCTCTTAGCTCTTAGCTGCTCGCTACTCAGTCAGAGGGCGGAGCGAATGTGTTGTGATTGCGTCTGTCAAGCGGAAATTGCAATATTTGCAGCCATCAGTCAAATCACATATCATAACCGGTATGAATTTGTTAGGGTTAGGCTCTGTCTGTGGTGGGGTGGGTAGAGGAAGATGGAAGATGGAAGATGCAAGACGGAAGACGGCAGCAAATAACAAGCGATATAAATTTTAATTTATCCTAAAACCCTCGAGCGCACAACTACAAAATATTAGACACTAAAAAGTTATCAAGAAATTGTGTGCCATTGCGAGGATTTATTACGCTTGTCCTTTTAACAAATTTTGCGCATTATTTACGGCTTTTTTGCCGGCACACACACACACACACACACACACACACATACATATACATATAGTCACCCATTTATCCAAGCCCCCACTCAGAGTTTCATTTGAGTTTTTGTGCAGCTTAAACATTTTTTAAAAGTCACCAACACTCACGCATTTGTCAATCTCTATGAAAAGGGGATTGCGGCTACGGCAAAGACCAAAGGCGGAGAAATAAGAAATGAAAGCCCCAAAAGCCCAAAAGCTGATCCCAATCCCAGTCCTGCGTAGCCCGCATGCTGCCTGCCAATCCTCATTGACAGCAGCACTTCCGCTTTGGCAGCCAAAATAGCTGCGAGCGCCATAAATTAAACTCATGTGCCACAAATTTATTTCATCCAACGTGTGTCACGCTCTCCCTCTCTCTCTCTCTTACTGAGTGTGTGTGCGTGTGAGTGTCGCCAACTTCAAAGTGAAAAGAGACTATTATATCGAATCGAAAGGGCAGGCGCCGCTGCCAGGACGCCCTTGGCGTAAGCGCTCTTTCAGTTTAGTATACGGTAATTGACATGTAATGCGGTTACGATTGACAACAACAACAGCCACAACAACAACAACAACAGCAGCAGCATCTGCTTGGACTGGCGACTTGCAACAATGTTGCCCACATCCGGTCGCCATTTTGATGTGCCCCTGCGCCAGTGTTGCAGTGTGACAAATTCCCAGACATTCGCACTGCCAGAGACCACAAAAGCAGACGCCCCGTGAAACTGAGCTTCAGATTGAGAGAACAGTGCAATTTACTAAATAAATTGATCAACGATAGAGTATATATATATATATATATATATATATATATATATATATATATATAGGTAAGTCATATGAGAATTGGCAAGTAAATAAATGTATAGAATTTTAAAAAATAATATATAGTATTTACTTTACATATTTATATGTATTTATCTCATAAGTCAATCAATATAAACTATTGAAAATATATTTATATCCGAGAAATTTAAAAAAAAAAAAAACAAATTTTATATAGAAATATTAGAAAATATTTAGATAAATATTTAAATATTTAAAAGTATAGGTAAAAGTAAATACAAAGCGAAATAAAGTATATTAATTCAACAAATTTAAAAATACAAATGTTTTTTCCACTCAAAAATAAATAAATAAAATAAATAAAATATATGTAAAAGCTTGTAATATATTTTTCAACAATTTTACATAGTACTTTGCCCCACTGTACAGTTGAGCTTAGTGCGACTGCTGTGGCTGGCTATAAAAAGCAACTGAAATGAAATGAACCCCATGAAAAATGGCCAAGTGTTTGCCAAGAAATGTTTGGTTTGCTTTTTGCCGGCCAGCCACCTGACCGTTGAGGCGTGCATTGGGGCACGGCAATCGAACAGGAGCCACAACAGGAGCAGCCACAGGATGTCAGCATAAATCAAATGGCAATGGCAGCCAAGAACTGCCACTGAAGCTGAAGCTGAAGCTGGAGCTGGAGCTGGGGATGGGACTGGGGCTGGGGCTGGAGCAAAGGGAACAACCATAAGAAATCATTTCTAATCCGAAAAGTTTTGTAAGCGCTGCGCAGACATCGTCGTCCATGGCAGCTATCAGCAGGCTGCGTGGCCAAGAGAAATGTTGCTTACTTGTTACCAATTCGAGCCGAGTGCCAACGGCCAATCTCACTCGCAGACACTCCTTCATTCTGTCTAACGGCCTCGGCGGAGGCCTCGGCTGGGCGGAAGGGATGGGGAGGGGGGTGCATAAATTGGACAACCAATTTAAGGCCTAAAAACCACTTTTACCGTTTATATTCGTGCGCGTGAACTTTTTTATTTGTGGTGCGCTCAACTTAAATGCTACGACATTGGCCTCACTTCGGCTCCTGCTGGGGATTTGCTGCTGCTGCTGCTCCTGCTGCTCCTGCTTCTCCTGCTGTTGCTGCTGCTCGTGTTGTCTCTACTTCGGCTCTGGTTTATGGCGGCAGGTAAGCACGTGCAAACATTTGTCGTGGTTATTTCGTTTGGATTTGAATCGCTGCTCGCCCTCGTAGTTTACAGCCTGCTGATGGGCCGGGTCTGTCGCTGATAATGCCCGACAGTCAACAGCATTGGCCACGCGTTCGTTCACTTGGCCTTAAGTTGGCTTTTTGGATTGTGGCGTTAATAGCCGCCCGTCCGATAAGATACGCTTCACACTGACTGACTGCCTTCCTAATGGGAGTAGCTGTAAGCTGGGGCGTGGCAGATGCTGCACGACCCTAAAGTCCATTCGCCCGGAGACTATAAATGGAAATTATTCAGAATTTAAGAAAATGAAATATTATATTTACAGTTAATTAACAGAGTCTTGCTGCAATATCTGACTCTCACATTTAGTTCACGTTCGTTTGCAAAATTGAAGAAGTAAATCTGAAATTGGATCGATGCCAAGGTTGCACGCATTCGCCCTTTATTCTCCCCATATGATTTGCATTGATTTGATGAAATAAATAATAATAGTCTCAGCAGCGTTAAGCTCGCTGGCATTGCCGCAGATGCCATAGATTTAGAGACGATCAGCAGGAGCTGGCAGGAGCCAAGTTATTCATTTTACTGCCCGAGACCCATTTAACCCCGTGACCTCACATAAAGGCACAAGGCCCGTTCGAAATAGTTGCCAAAACAACTTTTGATATGTCTTCAGACCTGGAGCTTCATCTGGCCAACAATTTTCAGGACATAAATCTGTAGAATGTTGTGCCTTAAACAGTTGGTGTTTTATGGCGTGCTAGAGAGGTCGTTGAGCTGCTGGCGAGACTAAATTGCATTCCTTTCTTTTTTGCCTATTTTTTGTTGTTGTTGTTGTACCTACTCAACTTTGGTAGTTGGAATTTCAAATTTTCCTTTGGCACGAGAAGCAGCTTCTTTTTTTTCTTTCTTTTGGAACAGCCGTCGGGCAGGACCTTGCCAAGCCTATTCGTATTCATGTATGCTCCGAAAACGGCTCCTTAATTTGAGCATAATAAGTGCTGCTGCTCGGTCACGCTGGCGTATGATGAATATTCATAATTCAAACGTCGCAGCAGCAGCGTCTTTTTTTTCCTGCTCCGAAGTTTTAACAAACAAATGAAAAATGAATTTCCTGCTTATGTTTATGCTTGGCATATGTTGAATGCTTCACTCGACTTGCTAGCACTTTGCACATGTCTGTGGGTGTGTCTGTGTGCGTGTGTGTGTAACAAAGCGGACAAAAGCGGAGCGTGAATAAATATAACTCATGCGAGCTGCTGGGCAACATTCTGAGATGCCAGAGGCAAGTATTTACACCTACGGTGCAGCATGCCGCATTCAACACAATAAAATGTTACGTAAATGTGTAAAAAATGCATAATATGCTTAAATGTCTGCGAGAGTGTGTGTGTGTGTGTGCGTGTGTGTGAGCGAACAGTCTGCAACAAAATGGCTGCTGGCATAACAGCACAACAACGACTACAATGGCTGCAGCCAGTGCCGTCTGCAGATACACTCATAATGATTATCCATTGAAATGGAAATGCCAGCCAAGGATTTCATATAATTCCCAATGCGTAAAGTGCGCTCTGAAAACTTTTCGCACTGCGCCAACAGCAGCTGAAGAAGAAGCAGATGCCAAAGTAGGTAAAGAAGAAGCAGCAGCAGCAGCAACAGCAGCTTGGTCTGAATCAGACTAGAATGCATCTCTGCAGCATGAATTGCCAGCCAAAGAATAGAATTCAATTTAAATAGATTTCCGCTTAGAGGAAATTTAAAAGTGCAGCAAAAGGCAATTGTTAACGCAAACTGAAGCAGCTCCTCTTCTTCTTCCTTCACAGACTGTGCGTGAGTGTGTGGCACGTTGATTGAAAAACTGCTAACTACATACACTTACACACTCACCCACACACACACACACACACACGTAAAGGTATTGCAACAGTCATGCATTGAAATGAGAGGAAACCGGAAACATAGTAGAAGAAGCAGAAGAAGAACTGATGTCTTACACTTGCCTTATGAAGACGAAATATAGATTCCCTAACAATGTTATCTTGATGAGCGCGACTGCTGGATGGAGGCAGGCCTTCATTATTTCCACTTCAGTTTTCAATTAAATGTCAATAAATCGATCCACTCGAAATGAAGAAAGTCTGCGCGTTAAATTAATATAAACTGTGCCAAATGCAGCCACAGTTCCATTAGCGATGCTCAAATAATTAAGTGGGAGCTCGAGCAGTCTGAAATGCTTTCGAATTCGGCATCGATGAGCTCAATTTCCTGCCGATTCCTGTTGCTTGTTTTCAGCTTAAGCGTTCCTTTTGAGCATCGTGTAGAATGACGATAGTTGCTGGGCTCGCACAAAGGTAAAATGCTAAGCAAACGTGCGTGCGAAAAAGGTAATTGAAAAATAGTTTCCGTTTCCCATTGCCAATGCCTTGGCTGTTGCTGTTGCTGTTGCTGTGGCCTTTGCGTTTGGCTTTGCCTCTGCCAATCTCATTTTCCAGCTTTTCTCGAGCAATTGCAACTGCCAGTTGCCAACTGCAATTGGAATGCGACTCAAGACGGCGGCGGCTGTCTGAAACCTAATTCTATATGATATTTTAGCAGCTCTAGGTATAGGCAGCTCAGGAAGTCGATCTCAATTGCCAGCAAAGAACGTGAGGCGAGTCTCTATTAAATTAAATTCAATTTACATAATTGTTTTGGCATATGTGTGGTGCAGCTGGCCATTAATTGGTCGAGAGCTTGCGGCATTCTCTCTCGGCCACATGCTGGGCTCATATTTCAGTGTCGGCCAAATCACAGCGAGCTGAAATACAAATCTTGGCCCATCTGCGGCAATAAAACATAATAATTAACATTTGCGACGACCGTCCGAGTTTGATAAATGGCGAATGGGGCGTTTCATTAAAGTGTTGCATACTCTCGAGCGTTATGCTAATGGCCCAGCGGGAGCCGAAACAAAGACGGAAGCGGAAACGAACATGAAAATTAAAATGAAAATAAAAACTCAACCGCAGACTTGCATGGAAACTTTTAATTACATTTTGCTAGTGCGTAGGTGTATGTGTCACTCTTTCACTCTTTCACTCTATCTATCTCGCTCTCTCTGAGTGTGTGCATTTGCATGTGTATGACAAGCAGAAAGAGAGTGACAAACCGGCTGAAGGGTGTGGGGGGGGGGCTGCGTGCAGCAGAGCTAGCAAAATGTAAGTAATGACTAAATGCGCACTCTGACAGTTTAACATGACAAAAATGTTCCCTTTTTTGCTGAGCTTGATAAATGATACGCGCGAAACACACAACAACAACAACAACAACGAACAGTTGAGGAAGAAGAAGACGAACAAGCAACAACTACACAGCTGACAGCGTGTCCCCAAAAAGTTGGACTGGACAAGCCCTGCGTAACTGGGCATAGTTTTTGTTTCCTTTGTCGGCCTCACTTTCGCTGCGATTCACTTCGGTTTCATTTTTGCCTGCTTCTGTGGACAAACATTTGAGTGAATAAAGGGGATTTCCGGCATAAATACGCCAACACCTCGAAACACAAATGCACAATGAATACGAATAGGACTGTGAATGCGCAAAGGCAAAAGGCCAAGCGAAGGGCCAAAACAGAAAGCAGAAAACAGAAAGCGAAAGCGAAAGCCTCGACGACGCAGCTAAGCGCTGAGTGAAATAAAATGGAATGCCTCAACAGAGTGGAAAAGGTCAAAAACAACCGAAAAAAAGGAGAAGAAAAATAAAAAAAAAGAAATAATAATAATAGCAAAATAAAATAACAGAGCTCGTATGAAAAGGCGAGATTATTATTTATGACTTTGTGGCAAGGGCAATTTTTGAGGTTGAACATGATGTTTCTGCCTGTAACTTTTGAACAAAAGTCTGCGAGCAGACGGAATGAATACCCTGCACCAGCGAGGAGGACTACGACAATATATAAGTAAAAAGAATGAAATAGTATTGCTGGAAAATAAGTAGGTATATAAATATATATATACTAGTGTATTATATAAAAGTTCTATCCATATAGTAAACATTTTCATATGATTTCATTATACTTTGGCAACATGATTCAACTTATAAGCAATTTCATCAAGCAACACAGTCTTCTATTAGAAAATAGTACTCTTTGCTTTACCTATTACTCATTTGCATAATCTATAATACATATCATGCAGATAGTGTAATAGCCATGCCCAGTATTGATCATCAGATACATTTACTTTACTGCAGGTTGAGTAGAAGGAAAAGTAAGAAAATGGCATTCGATGTATGCTAGGTTCGGCCATGAAGTAAATTGTCAAATGGAAATAAATGCAGACCCTAAATTGCAAAGTAATATGAAATGGTTGTCATTTGGTCAAAGTAGTTGCCCAAACGAAAATCGTATCCACATTCCGATAGTCGCTAGCCTAATGTAATTGCGCAAAGTGCTGCAATATTCGATATGCCCAGAAGTGGTTTGGGCCATCGGCTGTAGTGCAAAGGCCCGTTTCGTGGCACTTTAATTGCCGTAGAGCATAATTAATTAACCATTGTTTTTGGTCACCCCAAAGAGGAGTCAGAGCAACCGAATTAATGTGCTCACATTTCGTGTTCCTCTGTTGCTGAGCGGCGCCGCTCCACTACGGCATTTTAAATATTTAAAGCACAGCAAATGAATTTCGTATTAAGCCTGC